CTGTCTATCAAAAGCTTTTAAAACCTCTTCCCAAAACCCATCCATATTAGCCCAAAAAGCCTTGTACATAAACCTTGAGAAATTCCTTTTCAAAGGATTAGCAGACAGAATAAGAGGTGAATGATCTGAGCCAGAGGGATAATCCACTTTATAGAAAGCAGAAGGAAAAAGATCCAGAAAAGCATGGTTAACAAGCATCCTATCCAGCTTAATGTGAATAGGATTATCTGTCCTTTGGTTGTGCCAGGTAAAAAACAACCCCACAGAAGCTAGATCTTGCAAGCCCGAATAAAAAACAAAGGTATTAAGCTCCCCCAAACGATCAGCAGGCAGAGGATTCCCACCTGCTTTTTCCCTTTCGAACCGGCAACAGTTAAAGTCACCCATGACAACCCACGGGTGCTCCAGCCCCACCGAGAGGTTCAAGAGATCCTCCCAAAGCAATCTCCTATCAGCCAACTCATTAGCTGCATATACCACCGACAGATAGATAGGTGGTAGGGACCCAGCTTCCACAATTCCATGAACAACTTGAGAAGAGGTAAAGAGAGGAGAAAACGAAATCTGGGAAGCATCCCATTTAAGCCAAATTCTACCGGGGTTGGAGAAAGAAAAATTATCATAACTTTCTTCATTGTGAAACAAAGTATGAGAGAAAAGAAACCAAGGATCATGAGAGACAGAATTGTGAATTTTTGCTTCAAGAATACAAAGCATTTTGAGACTGTAAGTGGCTATGAGATCTTTACACAACTTGGCTTTGGTCGGGTTATTAAACCCTCTAACGTTCCAAGCAGCGATAGCGGGCAAGGACATGGGTTACTTGGGTTTTTTGGCCTTTTTGGCCGTCTTTGGCTTGGCTTTTTTGTCAGGGGAGGAAACAGAGTTAGAAGGAGTTTTGGAGTTGGGCTGAGAAGCTTTGGAGGAAGAGGAGGGGGGAGAACTTCCTCGGAAAAAGCAGAGGAAGAATAAACTTCATCATCTTTAGCCTCTTCCGAATTATCCAAATTGTCAACTGGAAGAGAGGCGAAGCTATTAGCTAAAACCACTTGTGAGGGACGAAGAAGAAGAAGTGGATGGGATTGACCCGAAGAGGAAGATTCTTCATGCGGTAAATTCAGATTAGGGAGAGATGTGGTATTGTCAGGAGGAGAAATAAGAGGTTCATTGGCAATTTCAGTGGTAGGTGGCTGATCTGTGGCTGGTTGAGAAGGAGGAAGTGTCGTGGGCAGGGGTTGGGATGTAGAAGCAGAATTAATATTTAGAGGAGGGTTAACCAGAAAATTAACCTTGGGCCGAGAAGGGGATCTTTTACCTCTAGCAGTAGGAGCCCGACTCGTGCTCCTGCCCCTAAAAGCAGGTTTTGGAGGAAGAGAAGGCTTGGGTGAAGGGTTAGATGGACACAGAGCATAAGGATGGATAATAGAACCGCATCCATCACATTTCGACGGTTTCCAATCATAGACTACTTTGAGAACCAAATCATCACCATCAATTTCCAATGGAATTTCGTCTGGCAAAACCGAGTTTTTGTCAACTTGAACACACACTCGAGCAAAAGTAAGTCGTGTTCTTTTGGCGGTAAGAGAATCCACATAAAGAGGAATGCCAATGTAACTGGCAATTTTCGAGATACCTGATGGTGTCCAGAGAGCAAGGGGGAGGTTGAGAATTTTAATCCACAGAGGGATAGAGGCAGCTTCATCTCGCTTTGGTTGGAACTTCGAATTCCACTTCTGAAGGAAGAACGGTTTGCCAAGGAGAAACCAAGGTCCTCCCGACCAGATCATATCAAAATCTTCACTGTAAGTGAACTTCAGAAGAAAAAAATCATCAGCAAGAGAAAGCAGCGAGAACGAGCCTTTAAGCTTCCACGCCTTGTTCATCGTCGTAAGAAGTCTTTCGTAATACGGTCTTTGACCCAAAGAGTAGCCCACAAGGCAAAGATCCCACAAATCTTTACCTTCGGTAAGCTCAGAAGCAGCAAAGGAAAGTTTTTTGGTCGGGTTGACGAAGGACATCGGCCACTCCTCGCGATTAGCAGGAGGAGCTGAGAGATTGCTAGCATAAGAAAGAGCTGGCGGAGGAAGGAGCAACTCCTAACAAAGAAGCACTGCCAGGAAGCGGGGGAAAATCATGCAGATTGCCCGCCATGACGGCCAGACGGCCGAGGGGAAGACAAAGAAGCGCGCCAAAACCCTAAAACCCAGAGCTTCTCTCTCTATCACTTCTCTCTCTAGCACTCCCTTCAAAGGATACGTGCGAATCCTTGCCTCGCAATGCTCTCCCCAAAGATAATGTGTAAAATCTAAAACCTAATACTAATGGGACCAATAGCTAGTAGTGGGGTGAAGAGCAGCAACGGACTGTGATGGGTGGTGATCACTACCGACACAATTGGTGATGAGAGCAGAATTAGATTGTGGTGTATTTTGGAATTTAGTTGACCATAATCAAATTTAGGATACAACAAAATTGAACTATAAAGTGAAAAGAGAATTCACCAAAAATTTATTCTGCATTTAATTATCATCAAAACAAATGTTAAAATTTTTAAATCCCTTACATTTGGAATACTTTGCATCATGTTTTTTTTTTTTTTGCAAA